CTCAGCTGGGAAGTTGCTGACAGTAAGGAGAATAGTGCCACCCGGCTTACGGACTACGTAGGGAGAGGCCTGCTTTGGGGGTGGGTGGAAGAAGGCCTGAGGCAGGATGTCTGGGGGCTCCTCCCTACTTATCTTCCCTTCTCTGTTGCCCTCAAAGAAGGCAGTTTTCTCCACGTCTCCTACCCGGCCCCAATCACCCACCAGTTCAGACATCTTGTGCACAGCGGCAGCCAAGGCATGCCAGCACATGGATACACCCAGCCTGTAGCTCTGGGGCCGTGGACCTGTGAGTCCTGTCCTGGATGAATCTCCTTAGCAGATTCTTTAAGACAGCTTTGTTGGGTGTCCTGGGCTGGGCTAGGCCCCCTCCCCACAGCACCGACATTTGTTTGTCAAGCCTCAACAAGACAGTGGGCTCAGGGCAGGGATATGGTCTGGTGTGAGTGGACAAGGGTTTGTCAATGGTGTGCGTCTCCTCAAGCTCTTTGCCCCTGTGGTCTTTGGGCATGATGCCCCCCATGTTTAGGTGCCTGCGTATAGCTACAAGTGCCTCCTCTCCCTCAGGCCGGTGTCAAGGCATGTATAGTTCCAGGAAGAAGCCCAAGTGCAAAGCCAGGCTTGGCAACGTTCCCCAGGGGCTGACAGCCCCAGCCAACCAGCCGTGGACCTGGCCTCCCTCTCCAGCCTGCCTGGGCCCAGCTGACCTCTGTCTGCTTCTGGCCCCTCCTGTGCCTGCCATGGTCTCAGCTGAACAAGACTGTCTTGCCTAATTCCTTGACTATCCTCAACAGGAAGTTTATAGAGCCACTTGGGGGCATCACATCTGTCTACGAGGCTCACCTTGGTAAGCCTGGGTCAGGCTGGAGGTAGCCAGGGGTCATGCTCTCCTGCTGGGATCGAGTCCCAGGGCCTCCCATCAGTCCTTTTCCAGTGAACAATGGCCTGGTGGGCAGCTGCCCCTTCTCCCCTGCAGGGTACCTGGACGGGGTTCGGGGCAGGAAGGTCAGGCAGGTGGTCTGTTCCTGCACCCCTCCCCCCAAGGCTTGTTGGAGCCCATCCCTGCCTGCCTCCCCCTCCTGCAGGGGCTGATTTGAGGATCCCAGGAGGGTAGTGGGGGTGGCCTCAAAGCATTCTCTCTGGCCTTCAGGCCATGGGAAACCAACAGGGCCTGGGCTGGGCTGGGCTGGCTTGTATCTCACACAGCTGTCTCCCAAGACCTGGGGCTGCATGCCCTGTCCCCGGGTCGTGGAAGGAAGAAGCAGAGTTTTGCCTTCCAGGTTCAGATCCTGGTTAAGCTCCTGCCGTGGGATGTGGTCAAGAACACAGACTGTGGAGTCAGACAGCAGGGTTTTGAGCCCAGCCCTGTCACTTGGTCATTTAACCTCTGTGCTTCCCTTTCCTCAGCTATAAGATGGGGTACCAGTGCCTGTTTCCTGGGTACTCGAGAAGTACTTGCTTGTTAGCATGCGCTGAGTTCTGGAGGAGGGGACAGCATTGCATCTTCATCCCTCTGAGCCTTTGTTTGTTCATCTGGAGAACGGGGCTGCTCAGCTCTGGGGTTGCTGTGAGAATTAAGTCTGTATAATGCTGGTGGGGCCTGTGGGAAGAGTGTCCTGCACACCCCACCCTGCCCATAGGGAAAATTCCTTAGGAAAGACTCACTTATCAGGATGGGGGAGCTGGTATTCCTGGCTCTGGGGCCCTGGGGCCGGGCCTCCCCACCGTCCTGCAGCCCCTGGTGGTGGCCGTCCAGCCTGATGGCCATCTGGCTGGCTCATCTTTCCAAGTGAACTCTTTCTCCTTATATGTTGCAGTTACTGTCGTGTCACCTCCAGAAAGGCCACACTAGGTGTGTGGGTTTCCTTCCCTTTACCCCCTCTGAGGGTTATGCCACCTCCCTAAACCCACCGTGTTCACCAGATGTGTGTAAACTATGTCTTGGTGCAAGGCCTCACACAAGGCACGACACAGCCTGGTTTGTGGAGGGCCAGGGAAGCAGATCCCAAAGAGAGGAGGGGCCCAGAGCTCACCCTCAGGCTCTGTCCCCCTTCATCCCGCCGCCTCCTCTCCCATGTCACCTACCAGAGCTCCCAAGCTCATGGAGGTAGTTTGAGAGAACAAGGTGGGCACAATCTTTCCTCCTGTTTTAGGCATCATGGCAGTCAGGGGAACATCTTCCAGGGCCCCCTTCTCCACCCTGGCCTGCCCTAGCCCTTTAGTCAGAAGTTATGGGTTCAGGGAGAGTGGGGACTGACCTGGCATATGTGCATATATCAAGGTGGTCTTCAGGGTGCTGGGGTAGAGCCTTGTGGGGCAGGAGTCCCTCAGGGGTATGAATGAGAGGTTGCATATTACAGAAGTGCAGAGGAACCTACCACCAGCTACCGTCAACCCCTACATGGTGACCTTCCTGCCGACCCTCTTTGGCATCTTACTGGGTAAGCCTGCGGTCTGGGCCCTGGGCTCCTGGGTCCCACTGGGCCTGCTGGCTTTCCTGCAGGTGGGGGAGACTTTAGGGCAAGACTACAGCTGAGTCCCCACCATCCCCCTGCACCACTGCTGCCAAATCTTTCTTGTGTCCTGGTGGGCTCAGAAGCTGCTAGTTTTGTGGGTCAAGGCCTTTGCCTACCTGGGGTATCCAGGAGATCGCCAAGCCTGCCTCCCACCCTCAGACCAATAGGATGCTGTCAGGGTTGGCCTCGCTGCCAGACCTCCCTGAGCCTGGCTTGCCCGTACGGCCCCACACTGTTCCTGGCGAAGCCCGCACATCCAGTGGCTCTGAGTTGCTGTGTAGCAGCCAGGCCTCGCTTTGGCCACCAGCACCCAAGCCTTCTGGTCTGGGGCTGGGCCTTGCCCCCAGAAGCCCCCATTCCCACACTTGACCCTGTCAGTCTTCTGCCCTGACCTCCTCCTGTAGGCTCTACTCTAGGCCTCTCTGCTGTCCTCAAGCTGCATGATTGTCTAAATGAGCGTCTAGAAACAAAAACTTTGTGATATCAATTCCCACCTGCTCCTTGTCATTGAATTTTCCATACCCGAGAAGGTTGGTTTCTCTTCCTTAGACCCATAGTGCCCCCAGCCCCACCGTGCTGGGCCAGGCATAGGGTGCCTCATCCCCAGTCCTCCTGAGAGAGCTGGAGCTGTTCTCCTTCCTGCATGCTCTGTGGGGATGTGGGTCCCCGCACAGCTCTAGAGGAGGGAGGCCAGACCACTGCCTTGCCATGTTCTGCTCCAGAGGCCCCGGTGCCGGGCAATCCCCGGGCCTGACCTGAGCGCCTGCCTTGTGGGGAGTCCTTGTGGGCAGGTAGGTGTAGCGTTGGACCCACGCACCTTCCTCCTCCGCCCGCTCCCTTCTCTGAACCTCTGTGCCCCACGGGGGAGCCCTGACTCTCATTCCTCCTCCTCCCCGAGGATGGTTCCTGTCACTGCAGGGTGAGAACGTAGCAGAGGGGAAGCAGAGACTGGGGCTTCTCACCTGGGCCTAAGTTCTTGTTCTATCACTGTCTAGCTGTGTGTGCCTCAGTTTCCTTGTCTGTAAATGAGGTGGAGAAATGTGTGTGTGAAGCCTTTGGCGGGGACCTGGCCTGGAGTGAGTATGGAAAGGGCAGTGAGACTTTATGCACATTGGGGAGTGGGGGGAGCCTGTGGTTAAAGCTCAGCTGACCTCCCTGATGTGGGTGACAAGGTCCTTGGGTGTCCTAGGAGGGAAGAAGCCCCCTTTGCTGTGTGACTTCGGGCTGGTGCCTTGCCCTCTCTGGCTCTGGATTCACTTCTTGGGTTGAGGCACTGTCTGGAAGGCTGAGGGCAAGTTTGGCAGAGAAGGAGAGGTTTGGAGTTTGGGTTGCAGTGGAGGGAGCAGTAGCATGAGGGGTCACCTGGGGGTAGAGAAAAGGGGGCAAAAGCCAGGAGTCAGGAAGAACTGTCTGTGTGCACCCAGAACAGTGCTGCCTGCCCTCCCCCACATCCACCTGGCCCTGGGGTCATCAAGGTAACTGAGTTAGGGCCACATATGTCCCCACCTCTTCCAGGGCCTGTGGGTGGTGGGGGAGGCAAGGTCCCCTCTGTGGGTCTCCATTTCCCCTTCCTGGTTCCCTGCCATTTGGGTCCTAAGTTCGGTCTCTGTCACCCCACTTCTGCCCCCAGCATCATTTCTGAGGGTTGTGGGAGGGCAGCCAGGACTGGACTGGGGCTAAGTGGGGCCGGTTTGGAGGATTCTGCCTGACCACTCCTGGGTCGTGCCCTAGGGCAAAGGAGGTGAGCTTTTTGGGCATACTGACTGCACCACCCAGGCTCTGCTAACACCCACTGGGAAATGTTTGCACAGGACCGGGGGCCTGGGTGGGGGTGGCAGGGCAGGGCAGCCCCCAGGGGAGCAGGAAGGATCCACTCCAAGCGCCTTTCTGGAGAGGGTCCTCGGGCCTTGCCGTGCGTGGCTAGGCCGAAGGCAGGGCTTCAGGGTCCCCAGGCCAAATGCTCCAAAGCAGTCCCTCCACTTTAGCACCTGGGACAGGAAGGGTGGGGATCACTGGGGTCAGGCCAAGCCCACCTGGCTAGAAACCCCTCAATTGCGGCTGATGGGTTCAGGTGAGGAGTGAGTCATAAAGGGGCCAGCTGACCCCTCAGCTTGACTCAGAGGGTCAAAGGTCCCGCCTGCCCTCCAGGAAGGAGCACCTGGCCCAGCCAGGCACTCAGCAGGACAAGGGTGAGGAAAATAAGCAGGAGGCCAGGATGGTGAGAGCCACAGCATAGCTGGAGGTGGGGGTGTCAGGCTGACCCAAGGCTTTGGAGCTGAGGGTACTTTGAGCAGAACGGGATGGGTTCCCATCCTCCCAGATCACAGACCTCTGAGAAAGCAAAGCCAGGCCTGCAGAGAAGTCCCGGCATGGGGTCCTGGCCCAGAAGGCATAGCAGGAACAGAACACGGGAGCTGGGGCCACCATGACGGGCTCCCAGGAGGAGGCAGGGCCAGGCCTGGGTCTTGAAGGGCAGCCAACTGGGGGCTAGTCCAGGAAGAAGAGAGGGCAGGCAGGGGAGGCAGGCTTCAGACGCAGGGCAGGCAGGTGCAGCAAGGAACCGAGCCTGAGGGAGGAGGCAGATAGAGGACACAGACACAGGGAAGGGGCCTGCAGAGGGAAACAGGGAGAGGTCTAGCCAAGGTCTGGGAAGACCATCTCCACTGAGAGGCCCTCAGCTTCCTACAGGATGTGCAGACCCTGGAGCACGAGGGCCTGGGCAGGCGCAGCCCTGAAGAAGGCGGCACTCACCCTGGAAGTCAGTGAGTCTGGCCTGGCAGGAAGATCATCAAGGGTGTCAGGGAGCTGGACAAGCTGGGGGGACTTGGGGAGGCTGTCTTTGCCAGCCTCCTGCCCCACCCCCGGAGTCCAGCCCTTAGCCCCATGGACTCACTGGAACCCTTCTACCACGACTTGGCCAAAGCTCTGTAGAGGTCTGAGGACAGTAATCACCTGGTGGTCAGGAGAGGACAAAGAGGGTCCCAGCTCTACCAAAGCCTTGTCGGGTCCCCTCCACGAGGCTCCAGTCTCCTGCTCCTTCCTCCTCTTCACCCACCGCCTCACCCATCTCGTTAGCATCCCCTGAAGTTCCTGGGCCTCAGGGCTGGTTTTGTCCTTCAAGGCCTTGGTGAAGGATTGGTCCAGGATCTGCAGCCACACCTCATACAGCACCAGCTCTGCCTTCTCCCCTAGAGTGATGGGGGTTACCTGCCTAGGCCCCCCCTCTTCGGGGAGCCTTGGGATAGGACCAAGCTCTGCCCAGTGGCTGCAACCCCAGGCTTTAATGCTCTCGGCCAGTGGTCGGTCAAATCCAGTCTGGGGCTCAGTCCAGCCTACTCCCTGTTCTTGTATGGCCCGTGAGCTAAGAATGGTTTTTACATTTTTAAATGGTTGAAAAACATCGAGTAGAATAATATTTTGTGACCCATGAAAGTTGTGATATACAAATTCCCATATCCATCAAGTTGTGCTTGGACACAGCCACGCTCATCTGGTTACGTGTTGCCTGTGGCTGCTTTCTTGCTACGAGGGAGGAGCTGAGTAGAGGTGACAGCAATCCTAGGGCCCACAGAGCCTAAAACGTTTCCTATCTGGCCCCCACACACAAAGCTTGCCGCCCTGCTCTGCTCTATCTAATGGGATGATGATACCCAGCCTGCTCCCTCCCAGAGTTGGTGTAAGTGAAGCAGGAGCTGATAATTCGACTTACGTCTTCTGGGTTTTTATTTTTACCTTTCCCTGCTCTCGTGGGAGAAGTGTAAGAAAACCGTGCTGTGGCAGGGGTCATTGTAGGGGCTCGTGGACATAAACATCGCAGTCCTCCTTCAGAGGGCCGGTGGGCAGCTCTAGGGTCCGCTAACAGGGGCAGGACAGGCCCTCTGAGCTTTGAAGGTTGAAGAGGAAACATGCCCCAGGGCTGGGGGCTGGATCCCTGGGAAAGTGGAGGGAGAGTGATTTGAGCCTGCAGAGGGCAGAGGCCCAAACCAATCCCACTGTACCCTGGATGGCTGGCACCCAGGGACAGCTGTGTATGGGGCATGGGGCAGAGCCTGCAGCACCGAGCCCCCTCGAGAGGCTGCAGGGACCACAGCAGGGCTGGGATTCAGCACGGTAGGTGGACTATCGCCTTCTGTAGCTGACTGGGCTCCCAAGAGCAGCTCCAGGCTGCGTCACCGGCGTGGACTGCTTGGACCCAGAACTCTCCTGAGTAGGGTGTTGTGGATCTGATGTCCTTTTTGGGTTGCACAATCCTGCATAAGTCTTCCTATGGGGGGAGGTCCCAAGAGGAGATACTGGGCTTCCTGCAGCTCTGGCACGGCGGGTAGAGCTGAGCACTTTTGCCCCTGACTTGAGACAGATCTTGTTACTTATGTGAAGATTAACCGAGATCCTGGGCAGTAAGAGTTGGCTGGACCATCTTGTCTCTCTGATCCCAGCTTCTCATCTCTATTTAGCTCCCCAACCAAGGCTGCATATCCAATTTCTCTCTGTGGCCCTGGCTCATGAGCATTTGTTGTTGAAATGAAATTCTATCTATTCTCCAGAAGAGGAACACTGAGGCCCAGAGAGATTAAGAGGCTGCTGGCCAAAGACACAGAAATCCCAGTCCTGACTCACCATTGGCCATGACGCTGGATTTCTGGAGGGTGCTGATGGGGGTCTGGAACTCGTATTCGATGTAAATGCCCACCCACTGATCTGCATTACTAGGGCAAGTACAAGGGGAGAGTGCAGGGGTCACAGGCTCTGCCAGCACATGTTTCTAGAAGCAAGCATCCAGCCCACTGGCACACCCTCAGGCATGGGGCTCCCTACCTCCTAGGCCAGAGCTTTACATGGCCAGCAGGAGCCACCGGTACAAAGTCCTCCCCTGGTTGGCTCCTGAGCCCCTGCCTCCCATATCCTGGCTTGCGGTCCCAGTATGGAGCTGCCCGTTCTGCCCCAGGGCAGCCTCCAGGAGTGGAGCAGGCAGGCCAGGCAGGAGGGAGAGGCTGACCCACCTGAAGAAGAGCAGGGGGCCTTCCTGGGGATGCACCTTAGAGAATCTTGACACCATGGGCATGACCTGTGGGGAGTCCTGGAGGTCAGGCTGGGCCGGGAGCTGTCTCTCCTGAGAGCCAGCCTGCGGTGGGGTGGGCACAGGTGCCTAGGGTGAGGCAGGACCTCGAGAGCAAGAGTCTCCTTAAATACTGCTTCCAGGGTGCCTCACTTGCTCACCCTAGTGCTGGCCCTGGATAGGGTGTCTGGGTAGGTTGTCTGGTTACGAAGCCTGGCCATATGCCTCCTGGGACAGAGCTGTCACCTCCCTCAGACAATCCCCTCTCTCCTGGGCAAGGCATAACGCTTCAGATGGGGGCCCACGGGGCAGGGTTGTGTGCCCTCCATGCTTCCTTCCTCCATAGTACCACAGCTGGGTACTGTCCCCATGGAGTGCCACCTCATTCCTCACCCCCAAGCCGTGGAGGCCTGCAGTCAAGGGAGACAAAGTGAGCGTCCCAGGCCTCGGAGGGAGAGCAAGAGGCTGCCCCACCTGTCGGAGGGTCTGCTTTCCCAGCAGGACAGAGAGGGCAGAGATGGGCACGAGGAGCTGGGGCAGGAAGGGCCTCATGGATGCTGATGGTCTCCAGGGCCAGGGCAGTTAGGTCGGACCCTGCATAGCCATGGGTGGGAGTTCAGGAAGCCCCAGGAGCCTCCTCACCCACCATGTCCTGCCAGGGCAGGAGTTGGGCCCCTCTAGGGAGCCCCCAGCATGCCCCATGGGCAAGCGAGGAGGCACTGGGGTAGGAGGTGGGAGTGGCCAGAGCACAAACTCACCATAGAGGCAAGGCTGCTGTCTTCCAGGGACAGGTTCCCCAACATCTGCCTCCTGGCCTTCACCTCACGGTACAGAGTCCAGAGGACTTCACAGGCAGAGGGGCCCGGGGCATGGCCGCCGAACAAGAGCATGTGGACAGAGCCACATCCTCATCAGGGATCCACTGGGGGCAGGGAGGGTCCCCAGATGGGGACCTGGCAGCGTCCCGAGAGGGGGAAGTTCACTGGGGAAGCCATGGACTACACAGAGAAGAGCCTCTCTGGGTGATTCCCTGAGTGATGTCACCCCTCTGGGCCTCAGCCACCTCCTCAGTAAAATGGGGATACTGACTGCTTTCCTGGAGGGTTGTGACAGGACTAATGGCACAGCCAGCAGAGCACAAAGCACATGCTCAGGGAAAGCAAGTCCCCTTGGAGACCCCAACAAGTTGGCTCTAAGGAACACTGTGAATCCTTCCCAGGGAGAGCCTGGGGCACAGCCAGGCTGCAGTTGGCTGTGAGCTCTCAGGAAGTCAGCCTGGGCCAGACTGAGAAAAACATCCTTGGCTGCATCACAAGGAGCAGGGGCTCTGGAGAGAGGAAGGTGACAGGCCTAAGGAATCTGAAAGCCTGTGGGACATGGACCAATTGGCCATGTCCTGAGGAGGCAGCCCGGCCTCAGCACAGAGTTGGAGTTTGTGGGGAGAGACCCGGAAACAAGCAGGCTCGGGATCCAGAATCACTTCCCGTCATCCTTCCCGAGTGCGTTTTGTCCTGTGCCATCTTGGGGTTGGCAAGACAAAACTGTTCAGACCCAGGGCAGGGAAGTCATAGAAGGAGATTTCAGTTCATTAAAAGCAGAAACTTTCTAACCAGGTGGGAGCAAGGCTTGGAGAGAGAGTGACAGTGAGCTCTCCATCACTGGGAGTAATCAAGCTTGCTTCTAAATTCCTACACTGGGAGGGATTTGTCTATAGGACTCAAGGTCCACACTGAGCTCACAGCTCAAGCCGGGTCCGTGATGATTTGGACTTTCTCAACCTTTCTTAGGAGGTTGCAGGGCTGGTATTCGCTGGCAAATCTGGCTTTGGTTCTCCCCCAGCATCCCCAGAGGCTTCGAAGCAGAAAGGGCCTCACCCCAGGGGATTTGCATCTATAACATGTAAACATGTCATTTTCAGGCCCCTGGCCCCAGGGAAGTACCCTGGCACCCCTGCCCAAATCCTGCAGCTGGAATTGGGGCTCAGAGCAGGCAGGAGGTCACCTGAGGTCACACAACACAGCCAGTGGCAGAACGAGATGTGGGCCTCCCGCCTCCCCCTTGAGGGCTCTTCCTGGCTTCGAAGGTGCTCCTGGACATGGTGGGGGCTGGGCAGGGCTGGCCAGTGCTGAGGGGGGCTGAGAAGGCACAGACTGGCTGGCAGGCAGATGGTGGACCCTGAGAGCCTGGGTGCCGGGAGCCGTCAGCTTACAAGTTAAGCCTCTGCCTTGTGAGACGGTCCGGGAGAGAGATGAGGGGACGCACGGCGACACTCAAGGGATTCTACCAGGCTGCCTCTGCAACAAGTCTCCCTGGTACTTCTGACTTTTCTGCTTCTGCTCACTCTGTTCTACACCTGGGGTTATTTCAGGGGAAGTCAGCCCGGCCCTGGGAATGAGAATGATACAATGCAATATTCTAGGGAAAGTTCTGGGGAAAAACATCTTCTAGGAAAAGAACATTCTGACCCGTCCTTTGGTCGGGTAAAGCGATGGGAGTGGAGAGGGAACAAAGAAATCTGTAGCCCCCACAGATCTCTCTGGGAGGACGGTGGTTGCCACGGCCCATTGAGTCAGGAGACCGCTGGGGGTAGCCTCCTTGAAGTAAAGAATTACAGAAGCTTGACTCCCCCCGAGCCTACACACAATCAATTGCTCTTAGGACTATTGTCTACCTTGCAATCAATTACTCTTAGGACTATTGTCTACCTTGCAAAAACCCGCTTACGCGAGTCAAAAATATGTACTGGGACTGTTTCATGAAATCATCCTTGCATACCCTGAGCCCTATATAAATCATACATACGCAAAATAAAGTTAGACTTGGACACCAAACTCCTTGTCTCACTGCCTCCTCCTTCGCCAACACCGTCCATCCCTCAGGAGACCCTGTTCAGCTGGGGCTGGACCCCGGCACCTGGGTCACTCACCTGAAGAGCAGGACGCCAACGCCCTCAAAGCTGGAGAGGCCTTGTGATAGCCGGGCTGGAGCTGAGGATGGGCAGAGGCATTTGAGGGCCATCATGCGTGCCCCCACTTCTCAGCAGCATCAGCTCACCCTCGCCCACCCTCAGTGTCTCTGGCCTGGCCCCTGCAATGGCCTCCTCCCTCACCACCTGAACTGCCCAGGCTGCCCAAGCGATCCCCGACACGGCCGCCAGAGAACACCTGCTAATCACTCTCGACTGAAAACTGCAGCGTGGCTCCAGCTGCCACACAAACACACTGCCTTCCTTGGCCTTTCCTTCTGCTGTTTTCTTGAAAATCGCTCTGCAGTTCAACTGTCCTGCATCCCCACAGCTGCCACCCTGGCCCAATGCTGATCCGCTCTCACCTGGATGACAGCCCCCCCCACCACCACCACCTCCCCATCTCCCATTCTTCCGTCCGCTGGCTCAGGTGGCTCTCCATACACCCCTCTCCCCCGTGCCCTTGGCCTCAGTCTCAGCCTCAGTCCACCTTTTCACCTCAGGGTCGTTGCACAGGCTGTTCCCTCTGCCCAGAAAGCCCCTGCCCATTTCATCTGGCTGCCTTCTCTCCACCCCAGTTAAAATTCCCCTTTCTGGGGCCGGCCCGGTGGCGCAGCAGTTAGGGTCACACACTCTGCTTTGGCAGCCCAGGGTTCGCCGGTTCAGATCCTGGGTGCGGACCTACACACCTCTTGGCACGCCATGCTGTGGTAGGCGTCCCACATAGAAAGCAGAGGAAGATGGGCACGGATGTGAGCGCAGGGCCAGTCTTCCCCAAAAAAACACAAAACCAAAAAAACGTAAAATTCCCCTTTCTCCCCTCCCCCCAGCAATTGAATCCGTCTTCTGCTTATCTTGTCTGTGACATCTCCTTTCTGTGCCTTGTCACCAACACAGTTCCATCTGGATTTGTTGGATCATTCGTCTTTCTGTCTCCCCCCCGCTCCAGCTTGCAGGTTCCTCCGGCAGAGGCCATGCCTGTTTTGCTCACTGTTGTTCCCCCAGCACAGTGTCTGGCACAGTAGGCACTCAGTTAGTTGGATGAACAAATGAATTAACTGAATGAATGAATGAACTAATGAACAGAGACTCAGATACAGTGGTCCCCTGAATGACAGGCAAGAGGCCAGGGCATGTTCTCTGTCCGTGGTTCCGAGGCTGGAGGCGGGTTGGTTTTGGCTGCGGGGACCCTGCATCACTCTGCAGGCAGAGAGGGCCTGTTGGTCCCTGATGGTGCTCCGGCAGAGGGTGCCAGGCGGACACACACTGAATCCTCATTCAGTTCCCGGGTGGACGAGGTCTCCACCCCAGGAGACTCCTCTCTCCACACCTGCTCCCTGGAAGGATTTCTGCCTGGGCTCTCCCTTCCTCTGGAGCAACGCAAGGCACAGGGTCTGTTTTCTTTTTCTCTTTTTAAATTTTACTTTTTTTTTTTTGAGGGAGATTAGCTCTGAGCTAACTGCTGCCAATCCTCCTCTTTTTGCTGAGGAAGACTGGCCCTGAGCTCACATCCATGCCCATCTTCCTCCACTTTATATGTGGGCCGCCTACCACAGCATGGCCTGCCAAGTGGTGCCATGTCCACACCCGGGATCTGAACCGGCGAACCCTGGACCACCGAAGCAGAACGTGCGCACTTAACCACTGCACCACCGGGCAGGCCCCAGGGTCTGTTTTCTACTTAGGTTCCTACCTTACAGCCCACATGCTCCTCCCCACATCCAAGGAGAAGCATGGGGTGGGTGTTTGTTCGGTCATTCTCTTATTTATTCAACAATCCCAGAGCCTCTGTAAGTTCCCAGCTCTGGGCCCAGCAGCCCTCAGAGGGCTCATGGTCTGGTGGTAGCGGTAGGCTCAGGTAGGACAGTGTGGGAAAGACAGAGGAAGGAATGCTGACTCTGCAAGGTCAGGGGTCTGAGTCATCAGGGGAGGCCTCCCCGAGGAATCAGCCTTCTCCAGGCAGAGAGGGAGTAGGGGATGTGAGGTGGTCCAGAGGCCTGGCATGCTCAGAAGGTGAGTGGGCGAGGCCAGGCTGGGGACAGGCTGGGGGCAGACTCCTAAGGAGGTGTTGGAAGCAGCCCATGCCTGGTGTCGGAGGTTTTCTCTCAGCTGGTGCTCCAGGGAGGCAGGGTTCCTGAGCACTGCGGAGAAGGCTTCAATGCTGATCCTGAAAGTCATGGAGCAGGTCACACAATTGGGTCCTGGGGAGGAGGCTCCTGAATCCTGCAAGGAGGCAGCCTGGCCAGGATGAGGCAGGGAAGAAGACTGGGCGGGGGCAGCACCACCAGGGACTCTCGGACAGCCAGAGGGAAGGCTGGAGTCACATCTGAGGGAGAGGGTGGTCTAGGGGGTTCGGCTGGCAAGGACCACTGGCCCAGGTTGGACTGTCCACTGAAGAGTAGCCGGACCTGGAACCATCTAGAGAGGCAGGGCAGGTTGGAGGCTGGAAGCGTTGATGAGAAGGCCTGTGCCTGTGGTGGGGAGCACAGACACAGAAGGGTCCGGAGAGGTTTTGGCTCTGGGGATGAAGGAGGAAATTGGGGCCAGGACTGGTGATGTTGACTGAAATGGTGGTGGTGAGGAAGGTATTGGTGACAAACACAGAAGTGCGGGTGATGGGGATGAGAGTGGGGACAATCGTGGCAGTGACAGAGATGATGACTGTGAAGAGGGTGCTGTAGAAGGCAATGGCGACATTAAAGGACCACAGGGCCCTGGGCCCAGACTGGACATGAGACTATTTCTGGGTGACCCTGAGGCCACTGTGAGGGCTTGAGAGTCCGTGTCCAGCCTGACCACCCTGGAGCTACAGAGAGAGGAGGCTCTGTGGCAGCTAACGTGTTATCCATCAATGTAGACACAAGTGGGCCCTGGGGTGCTGAGGACACAGCCTTCTCTGGGGCCCTTGGAGATAGAAGTGTGGAAGCCCCAGGCCTGACGGTGCTTGCTGCTGATGTAGATGGCTTACAGGCCTTGGGGCTGGAGGTGGGCCTGCCCATGGGCCAGGCCAGCAGTTGAGGGATCCAGATGTGGGTGCAGCTGGCTGCCAGGTTGGCCCAGAGGTAACAGATATCCTCAGGATTGCAGGGGCAGGAGCACAGACTGTCACGGACAAGCCAGGAAGCTCACTGGACTTTGGCCCAACCCCAAGATGCCTTGGGCCAGGAGAAGCCTGCTACAGTGCTGTGGCAGCAATCTCTGGAGAGCCAGGGACCAAGATCTTCTCTGCAGGTCCAGACACATCGGACGCTGGCTGGGACTTGGGGACCCTGTGGGCTGCAGGCTTGGCCACTGATGATACAACTGGTCTTGGTGTGGCCCTGCCTGAGGCCCCAGCAGTTCCCAAATGGGCAGGCTGGTCTGAGTGGGGACCCAAAGCCTGGGGCAAGGCTAGAGGAGCTTCCTGGTCCCCGGAGGTTCTTATGCCAGGAGTGCCCCCTGCCCTCTCAGCTGAGGGAGAGGCTCCGAGAAGGAATGACACCAAGGGTTTCAATGACAGGATTATCTTCTCTCTGCTGCCTCGCAAAGCAGATGTGCCAGAGGCCAAGGGAGACCGTTCAGGCCTCTGTGAGCAGGAAGAAGGGGCAGGGCAGAAGCCGAGACCACCAGGACAGCTGCAAACCAGGAGAAGCTTGTTCTGCCAGCCACCCTGTCGGGTGGGACTGGCCCACAGCCTCTCAGACACCTGCCTCCCTGCCACCTCCCTCCTTTAGGGGGCCTGAGGAGATCCAAACCCTGGCCCCAGGGGCCGGCCTGGTGGCGCAGCGGTTAAGTTCGCACCTTCCGCTTCTCGGCGGCCCAGGGTTCGCCTGTTCGGATCCCGGGTACGGACATGGCGCCGCTTGGCACGCCATGCTGTGGTAGGTGTCCCACATATAAAGTAGAGGAAGATGGGCATGGATGTGAGCTCAGGGCCAGTCTTCCTCAGCAAAAAGAGGACGACTGGCAGTAGTTAGCTCAGGGCTAATCTTCCTCAAAAAAAAAAAAGCAAACCCTGGCCCCAGCTCTGCCACCAAATCACTGAGCTACCCTGGGCAGAAGCCTCTCCTCTCTGGTCCTAGCCCACCAGAGACAGGGGGACCATGCCTTGCCACCCAGGAAGTGGGAAGGGGGACTTTGAGGGTAAAGGGGCATACCTAAGGGTCCCCCTCTTTTCTCCCATCCCAGTCCACCCCACTGCAGGCCTCCTCCACAAGGGAAGTCTTCTCTGCCAGGGAAGCTCAAGGGCCCTGGGAATTGCTACTCAACCCTCCATCAGGGAACAAGGCTATTACCTTACCACATTCCCAGAGCACAGGATGCTTCTTGAGGGAGGTGCATGCGTGTGTGGGAGGGCATCTCTGAAAGCCTTGGGGTTAATGCCACACCTGTCTACAAGTGTGCACTGAGCCCCTTGGGAGGGCCAGCCCCACGCCAGGTTCTTCCAAATGGGTGACACTGGGTACCCTCAGGGAGCCCAAAGCCTAGGGGACTGAGGAGGGGATCCTGGTCCTGTCTCAGGATCCCCAGGCTGACCAAAGCCAGACTAACATGAGGACAAGGAAGGTCAGCCCTGATGTGGAAGCCATGGGAGTTCACTGAGGAGGAGGACCCCCAACACCCTACCCCGCCAGGAGAATGGGTGAAGTGTAGGACACATCCCCAAGGCCAGCCTGCCCCACCTCCACTTACCAGCCAGGAGAATCCGAGCAGCTGTAAGCCATCGCCCCCCATGCTGAAGGCTTTTCCTCAGGCTTCCAAGTCTCCAGAATCAGGCAACAGATGCAAATGCACCTTCTCAGCGCCCCCTTCAAGAAAGGAATCGTTGCCCAGCTGTGAATTGTGGTTAGCCAACAGCCCCCAGCTACCCCTGAGCTGCTCTGCCTGGCCCCTTTGCACAGCTCAGGCATGAGGCCCTGCTGCGCCGACCCGCCTACTGGCCTCCAGCAAAGACTTCCTCCTCTTGGGCTACAGACCCTGTTGAATGGGGACCTTACATCTGCCCCATGGCCTGAGAGGTTATGGACCTGGAAACCTATTGAGGAAGAATTAAAGTCCTGTCTAGGGGCTGGCCCCATGGCCGAGTGGTTAAGTTCACGTGCTCCACTTCCACAGCCCAGGGTTTCGCAGGTTCGGATCCTGGGAGTGGACATGGCACCGCTCATTAAGCCACACTGAGGTGGCGTCCCACACAGCACAACCAGGAGGACCTACAACTAGAATATACCACTGTGTACTGGGGCGCTCTGGGGAGAAGAAGAAGGAAAAAGAAAATTGACAACAGATGTTAGCTCAGGGCCAATCTTTAAAAAACAAACACACACCAGTCCTGTCCCGTCTTCAGGTGTGAGCTGGGGTGCTCTTCATGGAGATGGCGAGAGTCTCAATGGTGGTGATGGTCCCGGTGGGGTGGGGGTGTTGGTGGTGCTGG